TGTGTTGTGAAAGGATTTGCATTGAGGTTATAAGTTGCTTTGGGGCCTTTGAAAATTTTAAACATGGTGTACTTATGTGGAAATTTTAAAATATATGTTTATTATTTTATTGAATGTAACAAATTTACCTTCTAAAATGATTAGGAAAGTTGCAAATGTTTGTATTTGTTTTCTTAGCAAGCTCTGTGTGTGTGTGTGTGTGTGTGTGTTTGTGAGTATGTATCAAGCTTTATTCTTCCTTCCTCAATAAACAGCTGCTGTTCTTCACTGTTTTGCCCCTCCCTCCTGCCTCCAGTTTCAACACCTCAGGGAATTCTAGGCAGCCTTAATTCCTAACAAAACAACAAGGGAGACTTCTTGGTTATAATGCAGTAATAAAGATGGAAATATTTTTCAAGTTGAACTTAAGCAGTGTCTCTCATATCCCAATTATTTGCTATACCAAAGTCTTAGAAGGTGTTAAATAATAACAAAAAATAATTCTTGTAGTTATCATGTTAATCATCCTGAATAATAACACCTATGGTAAATCAGCAAAACAGTAATTATTGTGGATGTGGTTTCAAAAAGAGCACTCTGAATAAATTGGTAAATAAATGTCATCAGTTATAAATAAGATCATTCAACAATGATTCTTAAGTGACTGTGCCATGCACTGTGCTTGGTACTGTAAATAGACAAAAGAATGATAGCCCTTGGCCAAAAAAATCTTATTTTCTACTGGGGTGGTTATCATGTATGCACAAGAGCAATACCAGATAGGGAGTGATGGAGACAAAGGAGAGATCCGTACAAAGTGATCCAAGACGATTTGAGGAGGGGAAGAACACTTTGATCCAGGGACAGTTTATTAAGGAAGACTATACCAGGAAGATATTACTTGAGCTGAGTTTAAATAAGAAATATTCTTAAAATACGAAGATGAAGAACAAGTGCATTCGAACCATGCAGAATGGTTTGTGCAGATGCACAGGGATGGGAGACCAAATAGAATCTACTTAGAGGATTAATGTGAGTTAAGGTTGTAAAGATAATTTGGAGGTAGGTTTCAGTGACTTAGGAATTTGTATTTTAGCCTAAAGTAGTTCAAGAATCACTTAAAAGTTCTTGAACTGAGAAGTGATAATGCTAGTTGTTGTTACTACTTGGTTTTTAGGAAGATTATTTTTGCACTTGTGTGGAAGGTGTGGAGAGCCTACAGTCAAGGTGACAAGGGAAATGCACAGTTAGTAATCATAATTGTGAATGGGATGAACTCACTCATAAAACAGAAGCACATAGCAGAATGGATTAGAAACCAGAACCCAACTATATGTTGTTTACAAGAAACACACTTGAAACAGAGAGAGACACACAGAGTTTAAAATCAGGGACTGGAGCAGAATCTGTTATGTTTTAGCTGAAGTAAAAAAAAAAAAGGCAGTCATTATCTCAGACAAAGCAAAAGCAAAAATAAACCTAATTAAAAGGGATAAGCAGGGGAAACTGTATCTTGCTAAAAGGAACCATAGATAATGAATTAATATTAGTACTAAAGATATATGCACCAAATGGCATAGCATCCTAATTCTTAAGGGAAAATGAATTACAGGAAAAAATAGACAATAAAACTATACAAGTGGGAGACCTCAACTTTCTTCTCTTAGAGCTAGATAAATTTAATAATACAATAAATAAGAAGAGTCGAGGAGATTAATAGAAGCTTGGAAAAGTTAGATATGATAGACCTCTCTAGAAAACTGAATGAGAATAGAAAGGAGTATACTTTTTTCCTCAGCTGTGCTTGGCATTTTCACAAAAATTGACCATATATTAGGGCATAAAAACCTTACAAGCAAATGCAGAAAAGCAAAAATGTTAAGTGTACCTCTTCCAGATCATAATGTAGTAAAGTTACATTTAATAAAGGGCCATGTAAGCATAAATAAAAGTTAATTGGAAACTAAATATAATCTAACCCTAAAGAATGAGTGGGTCAAAGAACAAATCATAGACACAATAATTTCATTAAAGAGGACAACAATGAGACATTCCAAAATTTGTGGGGTGCAGCCAAAGCAGTACTTAAGGGAAATTTTGTATGTCTAAATACATGCATCATTAAAGGAGGGAAAGAGCAGATAAATGAATTGGGCAAGCAACTAAAAAAAACCCAGCAACTAAAGAACAAATTTTAAATCCCCAAATAAACACCAAAAATAGAAATCCTGAAAATCAAAGGAGAGATTAATAAAATTGAAAGTGAAAAAGCCATTGAACTAGAAGCTGGTTTTATGAAAAAAAATCAATAAAATAGATAAACATTAATTTTATTTTAAAAAATAGTATTACTAGTATCAAAAATTAAAAGGGTGAATGTACCGCCAATGAAGATGAAATTAAAGCAATTATTAGGAGTTATTTTGCCCACTTGCATGCCAGTAAAACTGAAAATCTAAGTGAAATTGATAAATATTTACAAAAATATAAACTCAGATTAACAGAAGAGGAAATACAAATAATCCTATCTTAGAAAAAGAAATTGAACAAGCCATCAATGAGTTTCCTAAGAAAAAAAATCGATTTACAAGTGAATTCTGCCAAACGTTTAAGGAACAGTTAATTCTCTCCCAGTACTTTACAAACTATTTGAAAAAAATAGATAAAAGAGTACTACCACATTCCTTTTATAACATAAATATGGTTTTGATATTTAAACCAGGGAGAACAAAAATAGAGAAAGAAAACTGTAGACCAACTTCCTTAATTATTGATGCAGAAATTTTAAATAAAGTACTAGCAAGGAGATTACATCAGTGTATCAAAAAGATCATATACTATGACCAGGTAGGATTTATACTGATTGAACAAGAGCTATGAACAGGCAGTTTTCAGAAAAAATCAAAGCTATCTATAGTCACATGAAAGCAAGTGCTTTAAACCATTACTGATTAAAGAAATGCAAATTAAAACAACTCTGAGATACTATCTTATACATATCAGACTGGTTAACACGACAGAAAAGGAAAATGACAGATACTCAATGTGGATGTGGAAAAAATTGGGACATTATGTACTATTGGTGGAGTTGTGAACTAGTCCAACCTTTCTGGAGAACAATTTAGAACTATACCCAAAGGGCTATAAAACTGCATACTCTTTGACCCAGCAATACCACTACTAAGTCTGTATCCTAAAGAGATCAAGGAAAAGGGGAAAAGGACCTTTTTGCACAAAACTATTTAAAGCAGCTCATTTTGTAGTGGCAAAGAAATAGAAATGGAGGGGATGCCCATCAGGGGAATGACTGAACAAGTTTTGGTATATGATTGTGATGTGCTACTATTATGCTGTAAGAAATGACTAGCTGGATGTTTTCAGAAAAACCTGGCAAGACATATATGACCTCTTGTAAAGTATTCCATGAGCAGAACCAGCAGAACATCATGGTAACAGCAACATTTTACAGTGATCAGCTGTGAAAGACTTAGTACTCTGATCAAGGCAATGATTTTCCAAGACAGTTCTAAAGAACTTATGATGAAAAATGTTATCCACCTCCATAGAAAGAACTGATGGAATCTGAATGCAGATTGGAGCATACTTTTTCTTTTACTTTTTTTTACTATTTGTTTTCTCTTTTGCAACTTAGCTGATATAGAAATATGTTTTGCATGGCAACATGAATAATCAATATAAAATTGCTTGCCTCTCGAGGAGGGAGAGGGATGGGAGGGAGACAGAATTTAGAACTCAAAATTTAAAAAAAATGATTGTTGGGGCAGCTAGGTGGTGCAATGGATAGAGCACAGGCCCTCGAGTCAGGAGAACCTGAGTTCAAATGTGGCCTCAGACACATAACACTAGCTGTGTGACCCTGGGCAAATCATGTAACCTCAATTGCCTCACCAAAAAAAAAAAAAAAAAAAGGATTGTTTAAAATTCTTTCATGTGCAATTAGGAAATATTTAACAAAATAAATTTTAAAAAATTTTTTAAAGGTAGGAGTTAGGATAACTAATAGCACAGTCAATTATTCTGAAATACTAGATAGATAATAACAGTAGGAGGCCTCAGAATTGTTAGGGTGGAGACTAAATGAATGGTTTGCTACCTTGTTAAATGACTATTTATTGCTTTGATTTAATTTGCATAGATAAGTCATTTGACTCTCAACCAGGTGGTATTTTAACTGTGTTATCTGGTATTCTACCATTTTAGGAGTTCTCTTTTTGCGAACATTTATTTAAGCTCATGTTTATATATATATATGGGTCTGAAGAGGCAGCATGCTCACTAAAATATAATGATTTTGAATATATGAAATTTAAAAATTTTGCACAAATAAAATTGGTGAAGGCAATTGGAAGGAAGAGCAGAATGGTAAAAAAAAAAATAGAGCAGAATGGTAAAAAAAAATACTCCATCAAATGTCATTGATAAAAATTTGGAGAACAGATGATGAAACATTTCCTTTTTCATGTCAGAGACCTGGAGGATTATTAAGAATAATATATACTGATATTAGATAAAATCTATAGCATGTTTTGCTTACTTTTCTTATTCTGGAGGAATGGGAAATGATTGTGATGTAAAAAGAAAAATCAATAAAATAATTTTTTTTAAATGGCTTCATGCCTCTCACTAATATTCTAAAGGCTCATAAGTTTTGTTTTTGGTTCTTTATCCCTAGTACCTAGCATAGGTGCTTGATAAATTCCTGTTGAATTGAATCAAAGTTGGGAATTATACTCAAGAAAAGCAGTAGTTTAGACTTCATGAGACTGGGAAGCATTGTATTCTGGAAGAATGTGTGCATTGTAGATCCTGTTTTCTTAGAGGTTTAGAGTTGTATTTATTCATAGCATGATAATCAAATATTTTCATACATGCTTTGGCTAACAGGCTGCCCTAAAATAAGGAGGTGTTGGAGTAGGGAAGATTGAGTCATTATTTGTAAAAATCATGAAGGTAGCTTTATATGATATAGTTTCATTGGCAATTCGATCTTAATTTTACAGATAAGCAATATGCAATTCCAAGGCTTTGGACTGTGTTTGAGTCTTATGCTGCTCACCTTAGTAAAAGCAGAATTGCAGGATGAAGATGTTGAGATGGAGGATTTTGATGAAAGTTCAGAAGAAATTATGACAAATGAAGATAAACTTCACCCAGAGGTAAGATTACTGTGCAATGAAATTTAACTATAAAATATGCAATTATCTTTTTTTTTTTACCTTAACTCATATATGTGATTAATCCCTGAAGTTCTTACTAGATCTACAAGTCCATGATCTCTGAATGGACTTACTCATGTCAACATACTTATGACCAGGTTGTCTAGATTGTTAACCTATCAACAGGAATTGTTTTGTTCTCTTTTGTATATGATACCTAGCAGGGTTTTGCTTTTTTTTTCCTAAGTGATCTGAAGAATGTTAATTTTTTACAAAGAAAACATCAAAATAGGACCTTGTGACTAGGTTAAACAAATTACTTTGAGAATGGTTTTAAACTTTCTTATTTCTAGGGCTTCTAAACTATATAGTCCTCCTCCAACAAAAAAAGAAAATGTTGTAATTTCTTATCTGTTGCAGAGAAAAATTGCACTTTTCTTTCTCTAAGAAAAAAATTTTCCTAGTGAAAAATAAGGTGATGTTGAAATATGAACACTCATTAAAATTTGGTATGTGCTCAGGAGTAATACGTTATTTTTATAAACTCATCGTTTCATGTTTGGATTTTATACTTGGAGAGAGATGCAAGTGTATACATTCTTGAGTGTTACCTCAGCTAAATTGTAAGCTCCCTGAAGGCATCTCTTTTGTTTTCCCATTGGGCCTCATACTATTTGGATTGTGTTTTCCTTGTTATTCCTCTCATTAAATACAGAATTTTAGAATCTACAGAAAGCAGGCACACTCATTTATTATTGCCCAGCTAACTTGGTTAGTCACAGCTATTAAGTAATCCTCTAGAGCCACAGTGTCAGACTCAACTAGAAACTGTACTTCAGGATCCCTCTGGGCAATGTAGCATATTGACTTAGAAAACCAAATATTAACATTAGGTTCTATTGTCTTTTTATTTATTTTGTTCAATATTTCCCAGTTGTATTTTAATCAGTTTTGAGCATGATTCAGAAGTATAGGCTGCATGCCTGGTGTTTGACACCTCTACTTTAGAGAATTACACCAAAGAAACTGGTGACTATCTGTGCTCCTAAATTGCATATTCATGCATGAAGAAAGCTTCAGGCAGGAATGTTTCTCTGCTATTGGCTTTTCTACCCAGATTAAATCAGGCTGTCTTAATACATGCTTTTTTTTTTTTTTTAAAGTGGAGAAGTCCAAAATGTCAATAAGATATAGAGTAAGAGAGAGCTGGTATATTCTTAGGAAAGGCCTACTAGGAAAAAATCTTACTACTTTCAGTGTCATTCCTATTCCCTGTATCACCAAAACAACCCTCACAATTTTTTTTAGAAGAAAAAGAATCCTCTAAAGCAGATATATTTCAGTAAGATAGGGGTAGACTGAATCATATTCCATAATTGTAATCATAATATTGCTAATAAATTAGCATGTAGAATCTTGCTTGTTCACTGATAATCTCTTTCTCCTATGGGAACTGGAAATTTTTTCCACTCAAGTCATAGTGTTGCTTAATTAACCTATAGTCTTTCCCTAAAATTTAGTCTCCTCATTGATAGGAAAAACAATATATAAACAAAATTACACAGTGCTCATGTAGAGGAAGAACCAGAAGTTGATTGTTTCTAGCAATTATTTTCTTCAAATTTCATCACTGTAAGTTGTCAGTAAACGTAAATTTTTTTTTTTTGGAGGCAATGGGGGCTAAGTGGCTTGCCCAGGGTCACACACCTAGTAAGTGTTTGAGGCTGAATTTGAACTCAGGTCCTCCTTACTCCAGGGCTGGCTCTATCCATTTCGCCGCCTAACTGCCCCATAAACATAAGTTCTTTTCAAAAGGTTTCTTTTTATTTAGACCTATGTGTAACATGTCTTTTAGGTTAAATACAAGACACCGCAACCTATAGGAGAAGTATATTTCACAGAAACCTTTGATAATGGAATATTGACTGGGTAAGTTTATAGCGAATATAGAAAAAGCTATTTTATTTGATGGTTTTTTGTTGGGTTAAGTGACTTGGGTTATATGTCTGAGGCCAGATTTGAACTCAGATCCTCCTGACTCCAGGGCCAGTACTCTATCTACTGCACCACCTAGCTGCCCCTTAATGTTTTAAATTAAGGGATTTTAGACCATTGAAAACTGCTTTTAATACAGACCTTTACAGAAATATAAACCTTTCAAGTACCTGACAAGTTTCTGTGGAATGTAGTGACCCCCCTCCCTTTTGCACTTCAGTCATATCCTCAGGGTTTCAACTAGCTGTAAATCTATGATTTTTTTACCCCTTCTTTTAAAGTTTCTTCTGTTGTCTTCTTAGGGGAATAGACATTGATTAACTAAATCACTCTTAGCTTTTCTTCCAGGCTTATTAACCAAATGTTCCCTCCCACTAGGGGCAGTACAGTGGATAGGCCCTGGAGTCAGGAAGACTCACCTTCCTGAGTTCAAATCCTGCCTCAGACACTTACTAGTTGTGTGACCCTGGGCAAGTCATTTAACACTGTTTGCCTCAGTTTCCTCATCTGTAAAATGAGCTCTTAAACAAATGGCAAACTGTTCCAGTATCTTTGCCAAGAAAATCCCAAATCAGGGTCATGAAGAGTTGGACATCACTGAACAACACCTCCTACTCGAAATATTCCTGATTTCTCTAGTTATTAATGTTATCTTACTTATCTTTATAAATATCTGTCTCCCAGCCTCCTTGTAAGCATCTTGAGGGCTGGGACTTTTTGTTTTATCTTTGTAGCCCTAACACCAAGCAGGGTGCCTTGTGCTTTATAGATACTTCATAAATAAATGTTGAATTGAATGTTGACTGATCCACAGATCATCTATGTAAGTGCTCAATAAATGGAGAAAAGGCTTTTGATAAAAGTTAAGATTCATGTATAGTAATAATCACTTAAAATATTTTAACTTATTTTTAAAAAGTAAAGACGAGGGATTTTTCAGTCATCCTTACCTATAATGGACAAATACCAGATTTCTGATAAAAACAGGTAGAAAACAAAGGTGTCCACTCTCACTTCTCTGATTTGACATAGTATTAGAAATGCTAGCAGTTGTAAGAGAGAGAAGAAAGAGGAAATACCCTAGGAAGTAAAGAAGACAAATTATATTGACTTATGTAATTACTTATAAAATTCATTAGCTTCAACAAAATATTGAAATATAACATGAATTCAACAGAATTGCAGTATATATGGTAAATCTACATAAGATTTACATTCTTACAGGTTCTTAATATAGACCATGCGAATATTCTAAAAAGAGAAACCTTTTAAAAAAACCACACACACAAACCATTAAATATCTTGACATTAACTATACATACATACTACGTATAGAGGCCAGAAATAAAAGATTGAGGTTAACTGGAAGGAAACTCAGTGTTCATGGATGGGTTGGATGAGTATAGCAAAAATGACAATAATCCCTAAATCATACAGTATTACAAGTAAGAAAAAAATCATTGGGGTTATGTGTAGAACTTAATAAAGTTATAATAAAATATGTATGGAAAACAAGCTATTAGGAATATCAAACTAATTACTTTGAAGGTGGGGAAAATTTCAAATGAAAGTGGACTAGCTCTTTCAGAATTTATTATATAAAAACACTGTTCTTAAAATTATTTTTATTGTGTAAAATATAGAAAAATAAGCCAGTGGGACAGAATAGCAATGCAGAAATAGAACCAGAAGCATATAAAAGATGAATATTTGATAGACTTGTGGATAATAATAATATCTGAGGAAAAGGATACATTATGTAAGGGATGTTGGAAAAACTTGTAATATGGAGTAAAGTAAATGGAGATCTTTGTGTCACATACCACAATAAATTCCTAATAGATTATATATTAAATAGTATACTAAGTTAGGAAAAATGAAATATTACCTTTATATTAGTTTCATTTGATAGTGAAAAAGTAGATTTTATAATAAAATTGTATTTACACCAAAAAACTCCATATAATCAAGATAAAAATAAGAGATTAGGAAAACATTTGTAGAAAATTAGACACACAAACTTAAATGGTCTAAAATGTTTTAAAATGCTATAAATACTTTAGGTAAATAACCTAGTCATTAGATAAATGATAAAAGGATATGAAAAGGCAATTTACAAAGAAGAATGGATATATGTATTATGAACAGTCACCTGAAAAAATGAACCATTACTCAAAAAAATGTTCAGCCTTGCTAATCATTAAGGAAATGTAAATTTTAAATAACTTCAAAGTGCCACTTTATACCCCCTTTACATCAAATTGGCAAAAGTAACAAAAAAGGACAAAGCTCAGTTAGTCATGGTATTTTGGGGAAATCAGTACAAGCCTTCATTGTGGATGAAATTGCCAGTTGGCAGTGTCTTTTTAAACAGTAAACACACTAATCACAAAAATTTCTTAACTTTTGACCCAATAATCCTATTATTAATGATATACCCCAAAGAGAAAAAAGAGAAAAAAAGATGTATGTTCAGATAGAGTTACAGTTGAAATCAAAGCAAATCAAGGCTCAAAGTTCTGTGCATATTCAATTTATTCGTAAGGCTAGCAGTTATCAATAAAAGGGGTCTTTTTTCAATAAGTTCTATAACAAGCAAAAAAAAGACCCCAAATGAAGGCAGATAAATAATTTTTTTTAAGGCAATTGAGGTTAAGTGACTTGCCCAGGGTCACACAGCTAGTAAGTTCAAGTGTTTGGTCTGATCCTGGATTTGAACTCAGGTCCTCCTGACTTCAGGGCCGCTGCTCTATCCGCTGTGCCACCTAGCTGCCCCAATAAATAATTTCTTATGAACAAATGGAGGAGCATCCAAAAACTAGAAGGCACAAGTATCATAGATGGGAAAAACATGATTGGTTTACAAAGTCTTAAGCATCATGGATGTAGGGGACATTATGGTTGGTGGTATCCACCTTCATGGCTAGTTTCACAGTGATAACAGACCAGACTTTCTTGAAGGGTAGCCACTGTTGCAGAGATAACAGACTAGACTCTCTGGCACCCACCTGCATCCTTCAAGGATAACAGACTTCCTTGACATGAATAGAATGCTGATTAGCAGGAAAGCTGAACTTCTGAATTTAATTAACTCAGAGAAGAAAGCTAAACTTTTGAACTTTACTCAGCATGATTTAGGTAGTAGACAAAATGTCAGCAGTGATCCAGAACAAAATCAGTTACAAAAATGGAGACAGTATAAATTTGATTTCCTCAGTAGAGAGAGATGTTTGTGCAATTGTTTATATACATATATATCAGCATTATGTATAATTGAGAACAAAAAATCTAAATGCCTTACATCTGTCATCTGACTTTTCTTGATTGACATACTACCACCATCCTAATTCAGACTTTGATTACTTCTCAGATGGGGCATTGTAATAATGTGTTGTAATAAAGTCTCTCTCCTTTCTCTCCCTTCTCTAAGTCATACTCCAGAAACTCCCCAAATAATCTTCCTGAGACACATTTCAGACAATATTCCTCCTTGACTTTCCTAGCCTACCTTTCTAGATTTATTTTTTTATTGCTCTCCTTCAGAGCCTCTACATTTCAGCCAAACTCAACTACTTGTTCTTGAACTTGACGTCTCTCATCTGTGTTTAATTTGTACAACCTATATCCATGCCTGGAATGTACTCCCTTCTCAACATGGCCTTTCAGAATCCTTACCTTCTATTTAGGCTCAATTCAGAGGCTACCTCCTCTGTGAAATCCTAGTACTCCCAGTTGTCAGTGTTTTCTGCCTTTTCAGATGACCTTTTAAGAAATTTATCTGTACAGTTCCTTAAGCACCGCTGAACTTGGCATAATGTGTGGTACGTAATTGTAGGCATGCTTGTTGGTTGAATTTAGGGAAGGTAGAGTTTGCCTTTATCCCAAGTGCAAGAAAACAATTACACAAAGTAGATGCTTTAATAAATATTTGTTGAATTGAACAATTGTTAAAATGCTGAATAAATGTCAGATAATGATATATGATATAATAATAAAAGCTTAAATTTGTATAGTGCTCACTATGTGTCAGGCACTGTGCTAAACACCTTATAATTATAATCTCATTTGATCCTCAAAACAACCCTGGGAAGTTGATGTTGTTATTATCACCATTTTACAGATGACGAAATAGAGGCAAACAGAGGGTTAAGCTAGTATGTGTCTGAGGCTGGATTTGAACTCTGGTCTTCCTGACTTCAGGCCCAGTGCTATATACGTTGTGCAACATAATGATATTAATAAATAGCATGGAGAAAAAGGAATTTGGGAAAACTCATGTCAAGTAATATGAAACAAAAGTCATGTCTAAAGATAATGACTAACTATAAAAAGAAAAATGTACTTTAAAACATAGAGATGAGGGACCAAAGGCTGGAGATTCAGAGAAAGTATGTAAATAACTTGTCATGGATATATGACATGAGAATATAAAACATGAGAAATGTTTTAAATTTAAATAGTTGTAGGTGTTTCTTTGGTTTTATTTCAAGTTAAGTTCACAATTACTTTTAGAAATAATAAACAGTTTATAGTATTTTCAGTGGAAAGTGAACCTTATTAGGTCTTTTTTTATGTAAAATACAGCTTCTATGGAATTTACTCATTTGTCTTTCTCTAAACTATCTGAAAAGCTGATGAATATATGTGCCATTCATTAAAAAAATACTAATTGTTTACAGGTGGGTATTATCCAAAGCAAGGAAAGAAGATACTGATGAGAACATTGCTAAATATGATGGTAAACTCCTTAAATACATACATATTTAAGCTACATTTTGTGATCTGTTTAGTATATTTGACTCAATTACATTTTTGGTGGAATTTGCCAGTAGTCTTTAAAGGAACTTAAATGAAATTAATTGTAAATTTTTGGAAGATACACTTGCATGATGTATACTTGTCAGCGAAGTGGTAGCAGTGTGGCAGTAAAATGAAACCTGCCTTTGGAATAGAGACCAGGAATCTAAACCCTGTCTCAGTCACTTTCCAGCTGTGTGACCTGGAGCAAGTTACTTACCTCTATGATCTTCATTTTCACCCTCTATAAAACAGAAAAAAATCATGATGCTTATGTTACATCTCTTATAGCTTACATGGTGCAAAAAGAGCTCCATAAAGTATAGAAGTGGGTTATCAGGATTGTTATGTTTAAAGTAGAGCAGCATTAACTATTCATAGTTGTCGTGTAAAGACATTCGCCACTGCTACAGGTAATTTAAAACTTAGTCATCTAATTATTATTCACTTTGACATAGAGATTTAAGTTTTACAAGCTTTTCCCACAACAATCTTATAAGAAAACTCATGTTATGAAAGCTTAATTATAGAGCCAGGATTTGAACCCAGGCATCCATATTTTGATCGAAAACACCCTTGAATTGCTTTTGAGCCGTTCTTCTTTTAAGGTAAAACGCTGCTAGTACTTGATAAATCTAATCTCAGCCAGAAATCGTAGGGTAGCAATGTTGTGTTTCAAGGAAAAGGAAGAACAAAGGATTGGGCCCTTTTTGGAGGTAACCACTGGGAGGAGTCAGAAAAAAGTTAATTTGCTGTACGTTTTGTCATTAAATAAAAATTAGTGTGATCCACTTTATAGAATAGAAACATCGTGTAAAAGTTTTCAGTGATTTGAACTTCTGGCTATGTATAAGAACTTAGCAAATTTTAATAAATATGTATGTGTACATTAAAAGAAACTATTATATGTTTATAAAACTTGAATCATTTTAAAATAGACACGTGAGGTCTCCATGTGAACATGCGACTCAGCAAAATAGGAGAGGAAAAGAATACTGTGATCATCTTCAGTCTGTGGATTTATCTTCTAGCTCTTACATTGACAGTATAGCAGGCAGGAGGAGTACTTTGTCTTATGATACCTTAGTAATCTGCTTCTGTGCTATTTCTTAGTTAAGTTATCAAACAAAACTCTTCATCCTTTTCTATTAGTGTCCTTTACATAAAATGGAAACAAAAACACTAATCTACAAACTTTAAAAAGTTATTAAAATAATAAAAATCTTCTAACCCCTTTACTTTCTCCTTTTCCCATTACCCATTTCAGAGATTAAGAAGTTTTTGACATCCACATACTAATAAGTGGCATTTTTTCCTGGCCCAGTACTATTAATCAAAACTCCAGGAATGAATTAGGGAACCCTCTGATTGCATCCAATCATATTTAAAGTTCAGCTTTCATGTATTAACACTTTTTTCTCTTTGAATGACCAGCTGTCTAAGGATTGAGGTAAAAGGTGATTCAAGGTTCCTATCTCACTTGTTTCTACTTGCCACCAAAAGTATATTAAATTGTAATTGGAAATATAATACTGGTTTTGTGATATCATTGAAGTTTTGTTTTGAAATATTGTAATATTTTAAATTTAGCCATAAACCAAGTTTTTATGAGTAACATTGAGAACCATTGGATTTACTAAATTAATGCCGTGTGAAATTCTGTATAGTTAGTCTGGGAATAAGGTTTCCTGATCAATTAAATATTTTGATCAATAGATAGTTAATATATGCCACGGGATATATTATTCCTCAATTTGATTTCGTTCTGCCCACTCAAAGTTTTCTAAAGTTGTATCTGTCTGATGCCTGTTTTCCTAGTTGATAGATTCCATTTATTCCTTATGGTTGTATAAACTCAATATGGTTTTAAAAATCTATAGCCACGATATCCTGAAAGTCCACAAGATGGGGTTATTACTCAATGAAAGAGGAATACTCTGTTAGTGATCACAGAAGACTTAAATTTAAACATCCTGGTGGTAGTGGAAGAACTAAAGAAATTTGTTACGTAAAATTACTTAGTTTTTACTGTAATTACTCAGTTTAAAAAAAGTGTTACCAAGTTCCTATGTCAGCAACAAAAAAAGGTGAAAGATTAAGCCAAAAAAGTCACCATGTAGGAGGTCTTGAGACTATTTTCAGACTTCTTAACTGCAGTCCCAAAGAAGGGAAATCTAAAAGAATGATCAAGAGCACTCATGGTGCTTTTACCAAAAAAGGCACTTGAGAAGATAACTGCTTACCCTATGCTTTCCTAATTTCTTATCTCTAAAAATATCAAAACAAATTGAATAGTCTTGTATCATTTGTCCATAATGAAAACATTAAAAGACAGTTTTTCTTTTTTAAAAATTTTTTTATAAATTTATTTATTTTTAGTTTTCAACAGTCACTTCCATAAGCTTTTGAGTTTTAAATTTTTTCCTGCTCCCTTCCTTCTCCCCTCCCCAAGATGGCGTGTAATCTGATATAGGTTCTACATATACATATAGTAAACATTTTCACATTAGTCATGTTGTAAAGAAGAATTAGGACCAATGAGAGGAACCATGAGAAAAAAGAAACAAAACAACAACCAAAGAGCAAATAGTGTGCTTCAATCTGCATTCAGACTCCATAGTTCTTTCCCAGGATGTAGATAGCATTCTTCTTCATGAGTCTTTTGGAGTTGTCTTAGATCTTTGCATTGCTGAGAAGAGCCAAGTCTGTGAAAATTAGTCATTGAGCAGCGTGGCTGTTACTGTGTACAATGTTCTGGTTCTGCTCACTTCAGTCAGTGTTAGTTCATATAAGTCTTTCCAGGTTTTTCTGAAGTCTGCTTGTACATCATTTCTTATAGCACAATAGTATTCCATTAACATTTATATACCATAACTTGTTCAGCCATTCCGCAATTGATGGGCATCCTCTCAATTTCCAATTCTTTGCCACCATAGAAAGAGTTGCTATAAATATTTTTGTTAAATGTGGTTCCTTTTCCCATTTTTATGATCTCCTTGGGATACAGACCAAGAAGTGGTATTGCTGGGTCAAAGGGTATGCGCAGTTTTGTAGCCCTTTGGGCATAGTTCCAAATTGCTCTCCAGAATGGTTGGATCAGTTCACAACTCCACCAATAATACATTAGTGTTCCATTTTTCCCACATCTTCTCCAACATTTATCATTTTCTTGTTTTGTCATGTTAGTAAAAGGCAGTTTTTCCACAGGTGTTTTTCTATAGTACACCATTTCTTTGCTATCATAATTACTGAGAGATAAGAAAATATAATAGCGCACTGGGTTTATTATTTTTTTAAAAAGGTATTTGATTTGGAATAGGGAAAAATATAGGCTTAAAAGCTCTTGGACGATGTTTATGAGAGAAGAGAATAATCACAATACTGATAATAAAATTTTCAACATTTAGAGTATTGGAGTCCTTGGATAAATAATGGACTAAGGCTCAAAAATACCAGCCTGTTAAAAAATATACTTCTTTGTCTAATTGCCAAAGTCAAAAAGGCACTTAAAAATGCTAAAAGAGTAAAGAAAAGAGGGAAGATTTAAAAGGTCAAGTCCAGACTAGAGATTAGGCTAAACAAAAAAGAATCTGAGAATGCTTTGTAAGAGACTACAGCTAATAAATAGTTAATTAGGTACAGCAAAGGGAGGAACCGGCTAGAAAATCAGTGAGACTACTTGATGATCACAGTGCAGAGTGTGACTTGAAGACAACACATACTGAGCGTAATTTAATCCCCACATTCAGATTTTGTAGTTCCCCACAGATACCATCAGTTAAAAATGTGATAATCATTGCATGGCAATCATTCAAAAATGACTATTAAAAGAATATTTTGGTTGAATAAACCAGTTTTAGCATAGTGAGTTGTCTTCTCAAAGCAAAAGATACTTGTACATTTTCTTGACTAACATAGATGTTATAATCATTAGTATATATGTGCTTGATTTTTCTTCCATAAAAAATATTCTTTCATTGTCCTTTTTTTTTCACTTTTAGGAAGATGGGAAATAGAAGATTTGAAAGAAAATAGAGTGCCTGGTGACAGAGGACTAGTTTTGAAATCACAAGCAAAGCATCATGCAATATCAGCTCTACTAGCAAAACCATTTATTTTTGCAGATAAACCTTTGATAGTTCAGTAAGTTTTATGGCTTCTTTCTCAGAACTTCTAATTTGTGAATTTGAAATACTTAATAGATATATTTAGATTTTAGGTAAGAGTACTAACTTTCCTTGGCAAATTTGCCTGCCTTAGAGAAATTCACTATCCTGTTGAGTGTGAAACCAATTAGGTATGAAATAGCTGATATATTAATTTGTTATACATTTAAATATGTTTAATTCTTTACAGCAAAGTAATGCTACCTAAATTTGCTGCATAAAAATTGCTGTGTAAAATTTGTTGTTTGAAAATAACATGAATTATATTGTGATATGTTTTCCTCACAATAGTCCTGTGAGGCAGACGTTATAAAGGATGTTATCCCCATTTTAAGGGCAAAGAAATTGAAGCTTAGTTGTTAAATGAAAAGTTCACACAACAAATTAGTGTCAGAGCACTTCTTGAACATGCTGATTCTAAATTCCAGGGCTCTGTCCACTATCCAGGGATCATGCTTTATTTTTGGTTAAAATGCTAGCTTAGGTTCTTGTGTTCTTAAGATAGCAGTCAAATTGAATGATGACTTATTGTTTGCCAGTCAACTATTAGTGAAGATTTGAAGGCTGTATAAAAGAATTATTACCAAAAAAAAACTGCTTTAAATACTAGTCTTTTTAATTTAACTGCAACTTTCAGTGTCTTGATCAAAAATTAACAGTTATAGATAGAAATTTTTATCTTCACTTATGGACTTTAGCAGTTTGACAGAAATAAAAACATCAAGCAAACATTAAACTTTAAACTGGTTACAACACTACATATTCTCTTCTGATCATTACTAATTTTGCATGTTTTTATTCTGTTGTGACCCATCTATGTATGCATGTAAGTCTATACCATGTTCATTTATAGACAGGCTTTAAAAGAATACAGTTGGAGCAGCTAGGTGGTGCAGTGGATAGAGCACTAGCCCTGGATTCAGGAGGACCTGAGTTCAAATTCCGCCTCAGACACATAACACTTACGAGCTGTGTGACCCTGGGCAAGTCACTTAACCCCATTGCCTAGCCAAAAAAAAAAGAATACAGTTGTGAGTTGAAAACAGTTTAGCTTATCATTAAGATTTTATTATATTGCAAATTCAGTTTCTTTTCTCTCATCTTCAGTCTCAAGGTTACTCCTACCACCATATTTAGAATTTGATAGGCTTCTAGGAGTTATGCTTTCTACAACAAAATTTACGTAACAGAGTTGAAAGAAAAGCAACAAAAATTTGCAAACATTCATAGTTTTTTTTTCCCAGTTCATCAATGAAAGGCTAAGGGATGAGATAATGAAATTAGCATTCATAATTATCTTAACACAAATCAGTGTCTGACAAGCAAGCAAATTCCAGCTAACAATACTAGATGTAAAAGTTGGAAGGTCATGTCTCTGAGAAGAGTTGATTTAAGGGAGATAATGAATATTTGTTTTGTCTTTTCCATTGAAGAGATCATTAAATAAGTCAAATGGGCTTAATTGGCTTCAAGACATTTTAATGTATACCAGAGGGTAGTAAGAGGTTATCTATAAGAAAGCCATTGATTTATATACCAACTTTTTTTTATTAATTTATTTTGAATTATCAACTATCACTTCCGTAAGCTTTTGAGTTTTAAATTTTTCTCCCCCTCCCTCCTCACCTCTCTCCCCAAGATGGCACGTAATCTGATATAGGCTATACATACACATTCCTATTAAACATATTTTCACATTAGTGATTTTGTAAATAAGAATTAGAACCGATAGGAGGAACCACCAGAAAGAGGAAACAAAACACAACAGAAGAAAAAAAAATGACAAATAGTATGCTTCAATCTGTATTCAAACTCCATAGTTCTTTCTTCTTTGTGGATAGCATTTTCCATCATGAGGCCTTTGGAGATGTCTTAGATCCTTGTATTACTGAGAAGGGTTAAGTTTATCATTATTAGTTATCGTACAACATGGCTGTTATTGTGTATAACGTTCTCCTGGTTCTGCTCACTGCATGCAACAGACCATATAAGTCTTTCCAGGTTTTTCTGAAGTCAGCCTCTTCATCATTTCTTATAGCACAATAGTGTTCCATTCCATTCATGTACCACAGCTTGCTCAGCCATTCCCCAGTTGGTGGGCATCCTCTCAATTTCCAATTCACAAAAAGAGCTGCTGTAAATATTTTTGTCCATGTGGGTCCTACTAACTTTTCTTTAAAGGAATTATTATTGCACAGATATTTTAATTTAAACCTAATCATTTTAAAGGCTGTTTTCAATCTAATCTTATATTAATCTATGTGCTGCCAGGGGTGGGGAACCTGTGGCCTCAAGGTTACAGGAGGCCGCAGGTTCCCCACCCGTCAGACACTAGCATGTACAAAAATGAAACAAAATTCCTGCCTTCAAGGAACTTACATTTGAGTGGAAGAATGTAACATGTAAGGATATAAAATACACTCATGATTACTTGAGAGGGAAGAGAGCACAATTAGTGGACTCAAGAAGGGCCACCTGTAGTAGGGGGCATATAAGCCAAGCCTTGAAGGACACCAGGGTGTCCTAAGAGGTGAAGGTAAACATGCCTGACAGCCTTTGTGAAAGCGTGGAGAAAGGAGATAGAGTGCTAACTTTGAGGAAGCTCCAGTAGGCCAATTTAGCTTGAAGAAGTAAAGGGAAAGTATAGTGAACTTGCAAAGCTAAACTGAAGCCAGATTGTGAAGGTCTTTAATGCTGAGCTGGGGATGCGGAAGGGTGGCAGACTGAAGATTCCTGATAGGGACGTAACATGGTCAGATTATTTTACCCATATTGCTAGGAACTTCATTTAGATGCTGCTCTCTAACTATGGCTTATTGTTGCCTTGTTGTTTTACAGTCATTTTTTAGTCAGACTCTCCACGACCCTATTTGGGATTTTCTTGGCAAAGATACTGGAGTGATTTGCCATTTTCTTCTCCAGCTCATTTTAGAGATGTGGAAAATGAGGCACGCAGGGTTAAGTGACTTGCCTGAGGACTTATTTACTCTTTTAATCAGGAGGGAACATAACTGCCAGAGGCACACACAATAGCGGAAGATTCATGAGAAGAATCTCGTTCTAATTTAGCTTTGCCCTAAATCTGGGTATGTAAAGATTGTGAAACACACTCAAAAAGGTTACTAAAGAAAGTTATAAAGTCTCTTTTCATAGAAGTGTTTAACTGAATAATCATCATCTATAGGTTTAGGTTAACTGGAAGACAGGTAATCTAGATGATCTGAATTCTGGAGATTCTACTAAATATTTTGTTGCTGAGATAAAAAGCAAACTATCATGAAGAAAAGTCTGTGGTCTTGTCTCTTTTGAAGTATGAATTTTAGTTTCATTGATATTTGAAATTCTGTCTCGAAGCTTTATTGGAGCATATTGTGGACATACAACATTTTCTCAATTAAAATTTTATATTTTTCAGGTGTTCTTGAAGATTCTTCTGTATTTTGCATGAGAGAGAATTTACAACTTTTGTTTTTGTGCTTCAGGGCTTCAAATTGTATTTTGGCAGGAAATATTGAAACTCATTTGCTGTAGAGATTGTAGGAGTTACATTGAGGTCATTTACTGACATGTAGGGTTCTTTACTTGACTTCAGATTGATAAATAGGAATAAAGTAGGCATTCTAATGATTTCTTCTTTTTCACTTATGCAGATATGAAGTAAATTTTCAAAATGGTATGGATTGTGGTGGTGCATACATTAAGCTTCTAACAGACAATGATTATTTGAATCTGGTATGATCTTTTAGTATTGATACACATTTTTAAAGACTTTATTTGGTAAACTATGAACAAATGTTAAAATTAAGGGTAATTGAAATAACTTCTGAAATGTATTTTAAAAAAATCTAATAAGACTTCCTAAAACTGAACATAACTAAAAGCTTTTATTCTTTTGTTAGTTATGTTACTTGGTAGTAACAACTTCATTAAAATTTTACTGTAATTGTAAATTATAAAACATGATTAAAATACTATGGGTAGTAAAATAAATTTACGTATAATTTCAAAATAAGATTCACAAGTTCAGAAAAAATAATATAACACAAGTTAAGTTGAAGCATTCTGTTTATATTATTAAGAGAAAAGTTAAGAGAAAGGATGTAGAGAATTGTAACTGTGGAAAACACTTTGATTAAATGGTCTATTGTTCAGTCTATTTGAGAGGAGGGATAATGTAACATATAGTTTGGTACAATTTTCTGTAGTAGAGTTTCTTAACCTGGGATCTATAAGCTTGTTTTAAAATCCTTTTTATAACTGTTTCAGTATTTTATGCATTTGAAAAAACATTATTCTGAGAATGGGTCCCATAGGTTGATTAGCTTCACTGTGGGGGAGTACAGGGCAACTCTGTAACACAAAAGAGGTAAAGAAGCCTAGCTCTGTGAAATGTGGCTTAATACAGTATATCAAATAGGAGTCCTGGAGCAACTGTTTGTATTAGCATTCACAGTTGGTCAAAGTCACTTGAAGATACAATCCCAGTGGGAGGGGAAATGATTGGGACTAGGAAGCTAGTGTGTGTGGTTTCTTTGGCCCTTCTGTGTCTATAAGAGTAAAATTTTTGCTGTTTTTTCCCTTTTGTGTGTTAAAAGAAAAATGAAATTAGTCCTTTAGGTATAAAATTATTCTCTTCCATAGAAACTTTAATATATCAAATTATTAATATAATTTTCATACTTAAGTACTTTAAGTCTTATGATAAGAAGTGACATTCCATATCTGATAGCTGACCTTTGAGTCAGGAAGATCTAAGTTTAAAGTCCCCTTATGCATACTGCGCAAGTCATTTCACCTTTCAATGTTCCAGGCAACTCTTCACAACTATAGGTTGGGGACTAGGTGCCCATCTGTATTGGTAGAGGGGATCCCTTACAGTGTTGCCTACACCAGTGAAATCACAGATTCAGTTTAAAAAAAAAAAGCCAGATAATAAGGTGAAATGAAGCATGTAAAATGTTGACTGATATATGGTAACTTCAGATTCTTCCTCAGTGCCTTCAGATTACAGAGGTAGCATAGGATAGACATTTGCAAAATGTCATTGTTCTGTCTTGTAGTTCAGTGCTCTTTCTGTTGCTGCCTCCTACATTAAAATTGTTTTAATTTAGTCTATTACTGTTCAGAATATTATTCTTTTCAAGTAATTTTTCATGTATTGAGAATAATTTTCTTATATAAAATGTATCTTAAGGGATGAACTTTGTATAGATTGAGTAGAGAATAGGAGTTCATTAAATATTTTTTAATCCCATATTTAATATTAAGACATCTCTCCCCTCTCCCCTCCCTCTCTCTCCTTTTGCAGGAAAATTTCTTTGATAAAACACCCTATACCATTATGTTTGGACCAGATAAGTGTGGAGAAGAGCATAAACTTCATTTTATCTTTAGATATAAACATCCTAAAACTGAAGTTTTTGAAGAGAAGCATGCTAAAATTCCAAATGTAGACTTGAAAAAATTTTTTTCTGATAAGAAGACACATCTCTATACACTTGGTATGTCCTTTTAATTTCATTTAAAGTAATTATTTAATAGACCAGGTTAGAGGGGGCAGCTTGGTGGTGCAGTGGATAGAGTACGGACCCTGGATTCAGGAGGACCTGAGTTCAAATCCAGCCTCAAACACATAGCACTTATTAGCTGGGCAAGTCACTTAACCCCATTGCCTGGGACCACCCCCCAAAAAAAATAGACCAGGTTAGAAATGGAACTGTTTTGCCAAATATTTAAATCAGATTTTTATTATCTGTCAAAATTGTGCTTTTGTATCCTCTTACATTGTTCTGAAGTTGATTACGGCTACTGAGAGTTACAAAAAAAAGATTATTCTTAAAACTTTTTTATTCAGAATTGTTTTGAGAAAACAAAACTAGTTCTATGTTAAGAAGATTATAGGATTTATTTAGTGAATTCCTATCACTTTTTAAGTAGGAGAATACTAGTATAACCATTGCCTTAATATTGTTTTTATATTATGCCTTCTTGTTTTGGTCTTGGTAGTTTTAAGTTAAATTTAGAACCTAAAGCTATTTTCAGAATCTAAGTTGTGGTAGGAAGGAAAGTGTTTTCCAGCAGATAATTGTTAGTTGTACTTTTCTTCAAGAGGGAACGGAAATACAGCATTACTGAATACTTTTGTTGCTAATGAAAAGATGCCATGAATCTCAATCTATGTTGAGTGTGTTTATGTGTGTGTGTGTATTTATATATGTGTATAAATATGATGACATAAATTTCCTTATTCTGACTGTCCTTTAAAGATTTTATAGGAAATGGCTAGGCTGAGGTAGTAACTCCCTTTGTCAGTTTTATGTTGTTTGTGTAAGAGGACACAAATAAATTTAAACTACTAAAAGCTTAAAACCACACTAAGACTTTTGGGACACTTTTTATTACATAGTTTAGTATTTAGTTTAACCACCAGGAGGCATGATTGGTCGTGTCTGACCCTTTTCATTGGTGGGTTCCTCCATTTCTATATATGGCAACTCATTTCTTTAAGGTTTTGGTGTATATGTGGATTTATTTAATTAGATTTGTGTCTCATAGTACATTCTCTCCATTAGAAAGCAATACTGTTGGGGCCGCTAGGTGGCACAGTGGATAGACTACTGGCCCTGGAGTCAGAAGGACCTGAGTTCAAATCTAGCCCGAGACACTTGATACTAGCTGTGTGACCCTGGGCAGGCCACTTAATCTCAATTGCCTCCCCTCGCCCTGCAAAAAAAGCAATACCATCTTCCTTTCCCTGCTTTAAATAAAAATTCAGTTAATCACCCATTCATGGTTTTAACTATATACAATTCTTTACTCATAATCATCGATGAGAAAAGAATAAAAATCTCGTATGTTAAAATAACGACTATGTGGCCCGTGTATCCATATGTGATTCCTTGTAGCCCAGCCCTTTTAGTAGAAAGTATGTTTTTAAACTCTAAGAAACAAAATTTGGGTCCCTGTGCCTAACCTGCTTCCACAGGGGAAGCTTGGAGATCTATTTTTCTATTCAAGGCCAATTTTCTTGGAGAATTGGTGTTCAGTCGTTTGGAGGGGACTCATAACATAGGATATTCTGATTGGTGGTCTCTGTTTTCTTCAAAGGCAGCCACCAACAATCTGATTTATACATAAATTCTGCCTCCAGCTTGTCCTTTTTCTCACGGCTGCCAGCTTTGCTTAGGTACCACCTTCATCATCTTTTATCTAGGGGCTTAGTCTCAAAACATAAAAATATCTGCTGGGCCTTCATGCTCACAGCTTCCTTCTTGCCTGTGGCCATTTTGTCTCTGTCTCCCTTTCTGTTCTTAACCAAATTCACCTGCTGGTGATTGCCAAGGTCATTTTTGCACCATTCCAATTTTGACTCCTCTGTTTTTTGGATCTTTCCTTATCATCTTGGTAGTTGAAGCTTTGTGGGAATGCTTACCTTTTACTTTCTTCTAAGCTTTATGTGTGGGACAGACATGAGACATGGGGTTTATCAACTAGGGGAAGAGGTTAGAAGTGTAGACCTTCATCTATATTAGGTAATAGAAACTTGGCCCCCCCCCCCTTTTTTTAAGGTAATAGTCTTCACTGTGTTCTGTCTTAAAATAGATGTTTGTTTCACTTTTCTTGCCCCTTTCTTTGCATTTGAAATCCTTAGGTTCTTTCTTTCAAATATAGGAAACAACCCTGAAAAAAAGAACCTAGATGAACGATATTGAAGGTATTAGGGATGCAAATGCAACACCATTCTCAAAGCAGAAAGGATGATAGTGGCTTACACCTTTCCTTTTTTTTTTTTTTTTTTGGAAAGGCAATTGGGGTTAAGTGACTTGCCCAGGGTCACACAGCTAGTAAGTGTCAAGTACCTGAGGCCAGATGTGAACTCAGGTCTTCCTGACTCCAAGGCCAGAGTTCTATCCACTGTGCCACCTAGCTGCCCTGCCCCTTTCCATTTTTGCTGACCCTTTTGAATGTGTGTTCTGACCTTTAATCTCTTGAGTACTATTCTGTGTGCTGCTGTAGAGTGGCTGGTTGGTTTGCTTGGGCAGGGGGAGAGTATCCAGGAAGTTACTGATAATCAAACAGAGTTTTCTTAAATTTTCCTTCCTTGATAGAGGAAAGAATCATCATATGTATGAATATATTAAAAATACATTATACATATAGAATGAGTTTATTTATCTCAGAATTATTACAAAGAAATACTAAAACCTGTTCTCTACCTGAAGAAAATAATGAGAAACAACAAATAGATTACAAAATAGAAAATTAAGTTTTACTTGATGAATAAGAGAAAGTTGAAGCTAGAAGAAAACTCAGACTTTCACTTATAAATCCTATTATCCTGTGAACTTGAGGGCAACATCTAAATGATCTGAAGCAAATGCTTCCAATTTCAGCCCATTTTTCCTAGTCTTTTTCTTTCAGAACCATCTATGGAAGAAGGATTGGTTTTGTAAAACTGAAAATTGATTTTAATTCTATTTTGCTAAGTTAAGCTAGATTTAATATTTCCTTTTATGGTTCCTTCTCCTCATAAACTTTACCCATGACCTGCATTCGAGAGAAACCTGCCTAAAGGTTGAGCTTTTGTCTTGTAAGTGTTGTTCAGTCATGTCTGATTCTTTGTGACCCTGTGGACCATACTGTCCATGGGATTGTCTTGGTAGGGATACTAGAACGGTTTGCCATTTGCTTCTCCAGTTGATTTAAGGCTGAGTAACTTGCCCAGGGTCACACAGTTAGTCAATATCTGTCCTGTAGTTACTTCCACCATTGTAATCCCACTCATCACTCATCTTCTGGAGAAACTTGGTTAACCTATCTCCAGAAGACTGCTCCCATTGCCTGGAATCCTTTGTCATGTGACTGTGTCTTGGTTGTGCTTAAAGGGGTTTCAGAAGGGAAGGGCCAAATGATGTAATCTCAGTTCTGACTGTGTCATCAGTAGCCAATCAGATTGCTCAAGATTTTCTCTGTCATCTTGCTAATTCTTATAAAAGAACCTGTCAGTACTCATTCAGGGTCCTCATCTGTAAAATGGGTATAACATGTGCCTCTGAGGGTTGTTATAAGGATCAAATGAGAGATTTGTAAAGCACTTAATACAATGCCTGAAATATAGTAGGTACCATATAAATGCTGTTATTATTGTTGTTATCTTTGTTGTTATTATTAGCCAAAATTATTTTAATTTGAACTTATTGTAAACTACAGACTCAGAATGTTAGAGCTAGAGGCCTTAGAGACCATCTAGTGAAAGACATTTGTTTTACAGATGAGATAGCTCTTTAAATTTGCCCCTTTGCCCCGCATAACCTCTTCACATTTATAAAACTAGCAGGATTTTTTAGGCCTGTTAGAATAATTACCATGGTAATATCTTTGTGTATGTATATATGTTATATATATATATATATATATATATAAATTTTTTTTTTAATCTAACCTGAGGGATAAAAACATCATTGTTGGAAGAAGGAGCCTTAGCTAACAGTGGGGCTATTACCATCCAACTACTCTGCATAATGATAGGTACTTTGTTAAATTTTACTTTTGGGAAATGCATAGTGATTCCTGATGCTGATAAGGTTGTACTATAGATGACAGCATTGTGAAATAGTTTTTCTCCATAGCTTTGAGGAACTATAATATGGGGAAATTATATTTAATAATTGGTACTTGTTCATTTGAAAAGAAAAGTCATTAATGATCATTATAAAATGCCTTCATTTCAATGGCTCTTTTCATTCTTTTTTCACCTTTCTTGTAGACAGCTGGTCTTAAATTCTGCTCACTGCCGCTGTTTAGAAATAACACAGAACTAGGCAAATACTTATCATTTTCTTTAAGCTATTCCAAAGATTTTTTTTAATTCTTTTTTTTTTTGTGAGGCAATTGGGGTTAAGTGACTTGCCCAGAATCACACAGCTAGTGAATTTTTATGTGTCTGAGGCTGGATTTGAACTCAGGTCCTTCTGACTCCAGAGCCAGTGCTCTATAGTATTTCATACCCGTGGCTCCCGACCTGTGCAAAAAGGCAGAGGCAGAGAGAGAGAGAGAGAAAGATATAGAGGTACCTAATTATAGCTCTTTGGATTTCAAAGTATTTAATTTTGACGATTGTTATTGGCATTTGCATTGTAGTAACTGTATGTTATTTTCTTGGTGCTGCTTAGTTCACTTTGCATCAGTTCACATCAGTCTTTGCATACTTTTTTATATTCATCATATTTATTATTTCTTATGACAGCAATATTCTGTTATATTGAGGTACCATAATTTGGTCATTATCTACTTTGTTTCTAGTTCTTCTTCTACAACAAAAAGTTCTTTTTTGCCGTTGACTTTCTTGTGCAGTGGAATCCCTGAGTCAAAGGGTGCGGACATTTTAGTCATTTTTTTGCATTGCTTTCCGGAATGGTTGAACCAATAATGCATTGTCTGTCTCTGACCCCTGCAGTATTGACTTTTGTCATCTTTGCCTATTTGCTTAGTATTAGGTAAAACCTTGGAGTTATTTTGATTTACATTTTTGTTATTATTTGTGGTTTGAAGAATTCTTTCATGTGGTTGTTAATAATTTGTAATACTTTCCTTGGGTACCGTGTTTTCATATGCTTTGACCACTTACCTATTGGGGAAATAAGTTTTGACCTTCTATTCTGTTCTCTCTATATCTTGCCCTTATCAGAGACAGTCATACCAAGTTTTTTTTTCCCAGCTAACTGCTTCCCTTCTTATCTTACTTGTATTAATTTTATTCATGCAAACGCTTTTCAGTTTCAGCTTACATTTAATTTGGATAATTTGGTATTACTGTGAAAATAACAAATGATTTTTTTTGGAGACAATTGGGGTTAAGTGACTTGCCCAGAATCACACAGCTAGTAAGGAGGCCAGATTTGAACTTGGGTTCTCCTGACTCCAGTGCTCTGTCCACTGTGCTACCTAACTGCCCTACAACAAATGATTATAAAGTATTTGGCAAGCGTTACATTTTTTAAAACATGTTTTAAAATGATACCTAAGTGATAGGTTGTTATTCTAGTCTACCCTATGTACATTTTTTTCATTATTAGGTAAAGAAAGTATCCTATGTCATAGTTCAGTGGTTTGCAATAGTTACCAGCCTAGGGTACTGAATACTTGTCTAGAGTATGGAGATTATCTGGTAATAACTACTTCCTATTGAAATTTTTACTTGCATGTGAATGGTAACCTTGAAGGTTCTTTTCCTTTCATTGTGATTAGGGAGTACAAGAAAATTTACTGAGAAAGCCAAAATGGCATGGGGACTGAATAAGTTCGGTAACCTGGTCTAGAACATAGTGTGGGCTTATTTGAATTCCAAATCATTATGATTCCCTTTCTTCAAAATACCAGTGACTCAGCTTCTTCTAGCTGAGAGAGAGTCAAATGTGTAGTGAGTTGTATGCATTTGGTATTTCAATTTCATGTTTACCTAACCATTACCAAATTATAACTTTTTCCATTTGGCTTGCAATCAGTTTTCTTTTGAAAGATTGTCATTATAATGTTGCCAAACAAACTAACATATGTGTTTAAATTGGACTTTAGTGATGAACCCAGATAATACATTTGAAGTGTATATTGACCAAGTGGTTGTAAATCAGGGAAGTCTTTTAGAGGATGTGGACCCTCCAATCAACCCTCCTAAAGAAATTGAAGATCCTAATGACAAAAAACCTGATGATTGGGATGATAGACTAGAAATCCCCGATGATATTTCTGTTAAACCAGAAGATTGGTAAGTAAGATACTGTTTTTTAAAATGCAATTACGTTTGCATTTGTAACTTGCACATATTAGGTACACAATAAATAATTACTAAATCAATGAATCACTGAATGAGATGTTGTACTTTTTCACTTTTCTACCTTTATGAATTTTATATCATTTTTAAACATTAAAAGTTTTTTTTGGAAGAAACCACTGTAATGAAAATGTTCCTATGCATTTCTCTCCCTTCTTAAAATGGAATGTGATGAACATTATTTAACCTTATCATTATGTCTCAGAATCGTCATTATGGTTTTAATATAGAAATCCCCAGAAGAACTACTGAAGTGTTTGGAGCTAACTGCAGAACAGCTAGTTTCTAAGCAGCCCTTATTAAATTGGCTTTCTGATGTATTGTGAAAAGTCAGCCTATAGCTGTTTTGTACTTAGGGACCCTCAGGGGAAGAGCTATTACATTTATAGTTTTGAGTTAAGTCCCTAAAACAAAAATCATGATATATAAGGTAATGATGTCCTTGCACTGTGCATTTCTCAAGCATCTAGTGGGAGTATTAGTTTGACCTTTGTGTTCTACTGGGTACTTGGTGATATGATAAATTTCATTTCCAAAAAGTAGGGACTTCTATTATCCCATTTCTTCAAACGATAAAACACTAAGTATTACATTCTTCCATTATCATTCTCAATCTATGTAGATAAAACTTCTCAGTCTCTATATAGGTGCTAAATAATATAAAATAGAAACGGTGGGCACTTGTTTGTCAGGAATTTAGTTGCAAAATTAGAGTATGTGGATAAGGAAAAGAAATACTTTCCAAACTTGAGATAAACACTTAGCTTTTGCCTGAGTTATGTTGAAATTCATGTTGTTGGCTTTTTGAACTATGCTACTAATTAGTTAGAATCCAACTTGCGTCTAGTTTCCCAAGCTGGAGACACACTGTTTTCACAGAATTAGCAATAGAGAGTACTGGGATTCAGTTGATACAGCAATTAACCGTAAGGCATTCAAAGAATAATGCTGTGTTAAAGCTGAAGAATTTAGAGAATAGCTAATACAATCCATTTATTTTAACAAGGGAATTGAGACCCAAGGAAATTCAGTAAGTTGTTATAGAATAAAACCTAGATCTCTCGATTTTTAGCCCTAGACATACTCAGCTACACCATGTTGTCACTTGTGTTAAGTTTGGGGGTTGCATCAAGGGAATACTTATTTGTGACAGTACCTTCTATTTCGAATACATGGGGTACAGGTAAAGTGTTTTCCACATAGCAAGAACAACCTACTGCTTTTTTATAAAGAAAAATAAGGGGAGAACACTGTAAATATGCCAATAAAAAAAGTAGGAGTTAAAAAAAATTAACTAAGAGAATCATGTATACATACCAGTTTTACTTTCATATGTTATACCAACTATTTTGTGAATATCAGGTTTACTTTACCTAGGGAGCAGAGTGGTATTTTATCAAAGTAGTTCTGATCATTTGAAGTTTTGATCATCCTAATGGTATCTTTTCCAAAATGATCAATCAAGAAAGATAATATCGACCATTGTAGACTATTGTAAATATTGTAATTTATTTATTTATTTTTTAAATTAAGTAATGAAGAGAACTAATTCTCTAATCTTACCTACCACCACCAAAAATCCCAAACCTGCAAGAAAAGCTTTCCAACAACTAGAACTGTCACAAAGTGGAATGGGCTACCTTGTGAGATAATACTTAAATCTCTCACTGGACTGGAAGCTATGATGCTGTAGAGGGGATTACTCTGCTGCTTAGATGATCTCAACAACCCTGTGAGCTGTAATGCATATGAATATGTACTACTATAATGTTATTCAAAATTATTTTTAAAAATGTTTCCATTGGTTACAGCCATTAGGTTTTCCAGAGCTTAAGGTGAAAATACTTAGAGGTTGTTCTTTTAAAGTACTTTTGAGTGTATTTATTTAACATTTATTTACTTTTTTAAATTACATTAGTGTTAATAGTATGTATAATATAGCCACTAAAAGATTTTTATGAAAATTGAATTAAACAGTGGCAGCACTTTGGATTTATAGTAATATGAAGTGATTCTCTATTTAAAGGGATGAAAGTCAGCCGGCCCAAATAGCAGATCCTGATGCTTTTAAACCTGAGGGCTGGCTTGATGATGAACTAGAATATATTGAAGATCCTAATGCTGAAAAACCTCCAGACTGGTAAGGATCCTTGAACTCTGGATGTACATTTAAGGTCTTTTTCTCCCCCTTTTTTTTTTTTTTTGGTATCAAATATTTTACTTAACCTAGAGGAAAACAAGTGAAGACTACTTTTTGCCACTTTTTGATGTATTCATATCTACAGGAATGAAGACATGGATGGCAAATGGGAAGCCCCTCTTATTCCTAACCCAGCATGTAAAATTGGATGTGGGCAATGGCAGCATCCCATGATTGACAATCCAAAATACAGAGGAAAGTGGGAACCTCCAATGATTGATAACCCCAACTATCAGGTAATATTCACTTGTTCCAGATTATCGAATAAGCATTTTTGTGATCTATCCTGATAGATAGTTTTGATTTTTTTAAGTCCACGTTGACTTCATATTAAAATATTTCATAACTACTTTATTAGAACACAATTGTTATAATTCCTACTAAAATGTTAAAACCTCAGTATAATTTTCCATTATTAATTTAATTAATTTTGGAGACTTTTTTTTTAGAAAAAGAATATTTTATTGTGATTTTTGTGTTTAGTTAGCTATAATGCTTCATGCAGAAATATACAAATTAGCGCTAAGTAAAAGTATGTAAGAAGTCAGGCAGCATAGTATATAGTTGGAAGAAGACTGGACTGATTCAGAAGAACTGGTTTAAGTTCAAGCTCTATCCCTGAGTGAAAATAATGACTTTGGAATCCAGATTTGGATTTGGATCATGATCTAGTTTAGTTGTAACCTGTGTAACCATGGGCAAGTCACTTCACCACTTTGGACCTCAACTTCCTCCTCTGTCAAATGAGGAGTTTAAAGCTAGATGGTTTCTGTGGTCTCTTCCAATGATAAATAATATGATACCACCCTGCTTACTAGCTTTATAATCTTGGGAGTCATTTAACTGCACTGAGGCTCAAATTACTGTTTTAGCACTCCATTGGACTGTGGCTGAGGGCCATATGAGATAATGGAGGTAAAAACTCTGTGATCTGTAAAATATCATATCAGCGTGTTATTATTTTATGTTACAGTATTATAAGTAGAGAGAGCCAAATTTAATTATTAAGAACACATGTTTTAGGGGTTATCAAAGAGCAAAATCAGTTTTTAATATGATTTAACATGTTAATAAGTTTTCATCAAATAATTATATTTTATTCTCTTACCAGTTATACCCTGCCCACTTTTCCTTCTTAATTTTTGTAGCTGATAATACAAATGCTTATTTTTTGTTAGTAACATAAGGGACCAACATAACTGCTTTTTGAATATACTTAGCTTTTAATGTCCTAGCTTTTCTGTTTCTTTTCCTTCAGAATAATAAATTGTATATTAATTTTTATTTAAAATTTTGATGTTTTTATAACTGTCAATTTTTGTATTGTTACACATTATTACTTTTTTATATTTCTATTTTGCTGATAGTTTGACAATCTATATAAATAGACAAACATTTTCTGAGTAATTTTTTATTCGTTAACAAATTGGGCCACTTCTATAAACATCTTCCTTAGAATAGCCATATAAAATAATACATAAAATTTCTTCAACTGCATATACTTCAAAATGTGAGCAGTTTTATCATTGTGAATATTACTCTACATCTGTCCAGACTATAGCTCTTCCACATTATAATTCACTTTTTTTATCTATTGCTATGGCCTAGTGACTACTTCGAATTTTTAGAATAAAATTTACTTTAAGCAAATATTTTATATGTAAATGGCTGGGTACATGGTACTTGCCTAAAACATTGTCTTAAAATAGGTTTATTTGCTGTGTATTTTAGATTTTGTATGGTATCTTTTACATGAAGCTCAAGGTGTTGTGCAGATAACTTAAACTGCCTATAATACTCCCAAAGAGTATTGTTATTAGATAAATTGTTATTACAAAATAGGACAAAATAAGGACAAGTTGTCTGACTAATAAAATAATTGAATCCAGCAAACTTACCAAGTTAGGTAAAATAATTGATGTGTGCTTTGCACAGAGTTGAGAGCTCTAGTCCTAACTCTAGTCCAGACCACGAGCAAATTGCTTGATTTATGGACCTCTAGTTTTCACATCTTTAAAATGAAGGGTTTGGTTTTGTGCTAAGTTTTCTTTCAGCTCCAGAATTCTGAGTTTCTGTACCTTTTTTCTTTTTTCAAGTTGTATGAATGAATAAATGAATGAATAAAGCATTTATTAAGCACATACTAAGTGGGAATCACTTTGCTAAACCTAAATTTAGGGATTCTTATAGAACACTAAGGCTCTGTTCTCAAGGAGCTTACGTTCTAATGGAGGAAACAACATACATATGAAACAAGGTTTCAACTGCAAGTCATTTGGCAAGGTCCCATGGTCCTTAGGGTACAGCAGCAAAGCAGATGCCTCTTCTTTAATTGGACTGTTTCCATTAGTGTCTGAGGGTAGATGGTGGTCAGGGTGGTGATGGTGGTGACTTGACTTGCCTTACACATGCTAACTCTTGTCTCTCTTCAGCAACTTTGTTGTTTAGCTAACATAATTAATTTGGTTAAGTCAACATTTCTTTTTCTGAGTTGTATAAAATCATATTATCTATTATGTATTATATTGTATCTATATTATCTATTCTCTATCGTATATATCTATTGATATCTAAATCTTACCTCCTTTTGGTTTTGTTTTTTTTACCCAGGGAGAATGGACCCCTCGAAAAATTCCAAATCCAGATTATTATGAGGATAGAAATCCATTTCTTCTGAGTTCTTTCAGTGCTCTAGGCTTAGAACTGTGGTCTATGACATCTGATATCTACTTTGATAATTTTATCATCTGTTCAGATAAGGAAATAGCAGATCGTTGGGCTGAAGATAGTTGGATGGTGAAAAAATTGGTAGCAAGGGCTAATGAGGTATAGTATTGACTATAATATTAATAATAATAGTTATATAATTATGTGTGATATAATTCCATACTGAATTTTTAATGATGAAATGATTTATGAAAAAATTTCATTTTAAAAGGTAAGTAAAACTATAACTACTAAAGCTTTGATATAACTTACTTTGGGTGTGAAATATTTAATTTGTCTTTTGTGATACTACATTTTAAATAGATGTCCTTAAGTTTGTTTATGTAGTTAAAAATAGTATCTTTTTCAATTGAGATTTTAACACCTTTTTTTTCTATTTGGAAAAATGAAATTTCTAATCATTATAGACATTTCTCACTTCACAGAATTAAAGTACTGTTACTCTTTGTATAAACACTAACAAGTACTATAGATGTTAACATTTTTTTCATTTTAGTTATCTTTTATTCAAAGTGGATATAATAATTTAAAATCTTAAATGTAGATCTGACTGTGCCACCTCCCTGTTCGTTGTGTTCCAATGGCTTCCTTTTACTTCCAAGATCAAATATAAAGTCTTCTATTGGTATTTATATCTCTTTATGACCTGGTGCCTTCTTACCTTTCCATTCTTCTTATACCTTACTTCCCTCCACGTATTATGTGATCAGCCTACCTACCGTTCTTTGAATAGCTCACTCTCCCATTTCTGTACAGGCTGTTCTCCATGCATGGAATGCTTTAATTCTCCTCCCCCCCTTTTCCTAATGCCCATTTTTCCTGGATTCCTTCAAGATTAAGCTCAAATCCCACCTTCTGCAGGAGGCCTTTCTTAGTTTTCCCAGTGGTTTTGCAGTGGCCATGGCGGACATTTGGAAAAAAGACTGTTTTAGAGATAGTTATGTTTTTGTGCTAACTAAGATATCTATATATATCTGTCTATATATGTATATCTTGTAGAGGGCAGGGAAATAGAGAAATTCTTTTCCGTTAAATAATATAAATCTTTTAGGAATTTGAGGAAGAGATCATTTTGGCTGGGAAGCCCTAAGTTTGAAGAGTCTAAGGAAACGTTAAAGAGGCAGCAGGATCTAAACCGAACATTTAAGGATATATGTAATGATATGGAGAGTCAGTGTCATGTGACTAGTTAGTAACAGCTAGAACTAGAACAGAGGATTCCTCACTGCAACAGAGCTCATCCATTGTTTTACCTTACTTGGTAGGTAAATGTATATTCTTTGGCAGCTGGAAGATAAATAAGGCTGGAGCAGAGGGTTTTGGTAAGAGAATAAAAGGTTAAGTTTAGCCTAAATTATACAAAACCTTGAAAACCAGTGTTTTCGGCTGGCCAAATGCTAGCTAGTTCTTCAATAGTTTATGTTCAGCATTAGAATAACATGAGACACTTTGTAGGTCACTCAACAGTTACGAAAAGGAGAATTATTTCTCCATAGCAGGAGGAAGAGATTCAACAAAGATAGACTTTCAGAATACCATGAGTTGATTTACCTCATCAAAGTTCCACTGCCTCTGAATTGCTCATCAAAGTCTGACAGCCAAGCATAAAGGACCGTTTGAGCTCGTTGTCGCAGTTTTGTACTCAGATGGCCACATTAAATTAGTGTATATTCAGGTACTTCAATACAAAAGTGGGCATATAGTATATTCCAGGCCAATGTGAAAGCTGGTTAAGTGTCATACATCTACGTGATGGAGTGTCATGTCTTAGGAACAGAGAGAAGGCCAGTTTGGCTAAATTTCAGAGTGCAGGAAGAGAGGTGAAGAGTAATGCTTATCAAAGCTGAAAAGATAGATTGAGACAAAGTTGTGTAGGGCTTTAAAAGCTAAATAGGATTTTGTTTTAATCCTAGAAGCAATAGGAAGCCACTGGATTGATTAAATGGAAGAGTCATACTTAAGGAAAATTTGAGGTAAGGAAGAGGCTGTTGCCATAACCTAGGACTTAAACTACGACAGTAGCTAGGTGAATGGTGATAAGAGATCAGATGCAAGTGATGTTGTAAAGGTCAAAATAACAGGATTTTGGCAGTTGATTGGTTATATGGGGTGAGGGAAAGTAAGGAGTCCAAGGATGTCAGTATTACAGGCCTATGAGACTAGAGCCTTCCAGTGATGGTGGTGGTGATGTGATGTCTTCTGTTGGTACCTTTGACAGAAGTAGGGAAATTTAAAGGGGGGGGGGGTGAGGGTTTTTGGGGAGAGAAGGAGTTTAATTTTAGATACGTTGAGTTTAAGATATCTCCTAGATAACCAGAACAGAATAAAAACAAAACAATAGGGCATTCAATTGAGGTAGCTATTCAAGGGCAGTTGGTGATCAGGGATTAAAGTTGGGGAGAGACAAATTCAGACATATACAATACATATATACATATGCACACATATATGTTTGTGAGTTGTCAGCATAGAGATGATAGGTAAACCCATGGGAGCTGGTGAAGTAACAAGAGAAAGAGTGCAAGGGAAAAGAGAAAAGGACCTACCAAGGACAGAGTTTTGGGGAACACCAACTGGAGCATATATTGAGCCATCAAAGGAGACTTCAAGAGTATTCAAACATGTAGAAAAACCATGAGAGAATAGTGCCACAAAAAATTCATAGAGAAGGAAAGTGTCTAGGAGAGAAAGGGTAGTCAGATGCAGCACATAGGTTGAGAAAGATGAGGACTGAGATTAGATTTGGCAACTAAGTGATTATGATAACTTTAGAGAGCAATTTCATCTGAATGATAAGGTTAGAAGCCAGATTCCAAAGGGTTGAGGTGAGGAAGTGGAGGCAGTGACAGTTTTTTCAAGGAATTTGGCTTAGAAAAGGAAGAGAGCTGTAGGACAGTAGTTTGAGGAGGATAGTGGAGTAGAGTTTAGTGAAAGTGCTCTTTTTTTTTTTTTTTTTTTAAAGGATAGGCGAGACAGGTACATCTGCAGGTGGTAGGGAAAGAACCAGTAGATGGATTTTGAAGTTGAGAAAGTGGGATAAACAAGGGTCTAAAAAACATGTATACTTAGAACATTGCATTTTTACAGTGGAAATCAATACCAAATTGGAGTAAGAATAAAAACAAGAAAATATGGCATACAATTAAGGAAGAACTGCAATTTAATGAAACTAGAAATGTCAAGGAAATGGTAACAGGGGAAAACCTTCCATTGGCATAGACTATCATCATTTTTTAAGGAAGTTTTATACATTTAGTTGAATTTCCACAGCCAGGAATCGAAGAGTGTAGAAAATGCCTCTGAAAACATTAAGTCTACTTTGGTGAGGTAACAGAGCCAAGACCACTCTTTAATGTTGCAGTCCTAAGAATGTTGGTGCACGATGCATGAGAAAGTAGAAATAACACTAAAGAAAACAAAAGTAGGAAAAACAAACACTAACCCAAACCTGTAAGAGGTCTTAATAGAGGTTATACAGTTTTCAGGATATCTGAAAAGAGGGAGGATACAAAGCTCTTGGGGAAAGTCAAGTTAATTGTAGAATTTCTTAGAAGAAAAATACCATTAGAATGAAACATACAGTTATTGTGTAGCATAACGTTAGGGCCAGGTTCTTTGAAATGGCAAAGTAAATTATTCATATATATATATATATATATATATATATACACACACACACATAGATGTGTGTGTGTGTGTGTGTGTGTGTGTGTGTGTGTATCTTTATATGAATAAGGCTGGAGCAGAGGGTTTTGGTAAGAGAATAAAAGGTTAAGTTTAGCCTAAATTATACACAGCCTTGAAAACCTATGAATAAGGAATAGCAGTGGTCTAGGATTTCCCTAAATTTAAAATCCTCCTGTCTCCAATGTAAATTCAAATTATTTTTTGTGGTAGGCTAAAACTAGGATTTCCCTCTTTATTGGCTCTTATATGATTTCAAATGTTTTAAAATATCTTACCAAACATTAGTGTTTCTAGTTCTTAAAAAATTTCAAATACAAGTATTAATATGTGCTTCCTACTAACTCTCTTTTGTAGCACATTTTGAAACAAAACAAAAATCAAATCCCTTAATACAGCTCTACATAGTCTGTCAAAACAAATTCCCATTTTAGTTGTGTGCAAAAAATACATATCTTTTTCTACATTTTAAAGCTATATGTTTCATCTTCATTCTTTTGGACTTGTTTATGATTTCAGAGTTCTAGAGCATTTTAGAGTTGTTTTCTGTGTAATGTTATTATAAATTGTTCTCAATATTCTGCTCAGCTCACTCTGCATCATTTTGTAAAGGTTTCCTCATTTTCCTCTGAAATTGTCCATTTCATCATTTCTTATGGAATAGTAATATTACATTACATTCATATACCACAGTATACTTAGTCATTCCCAAATAGGAGAACATTTCATTAGTTTCCAATTTGGGGCTGCTGTGATATTAGTTGCTAAAAATATTTTTGTACATAAAGACCTTTTCTCTCTTTCTTTGATTTTTTGGGGGGAATCAGCCTTAGTATTGGTATAGGTGGGTGAAAGGCTATGCAGAATTTGATATCTTTCTGGGCAAAGTTCCAAATTCCTTTCCAAGAATGACTTTACTGATCCATAGTTCCCCCAACAGTGCACCAGTTTACTTGTTTTTTCACAGCTCCTCCATTTGCCATTTTGTTCTTATATCATCTGATAGTTGTGAGATAGAATCTCAGAGTTGTTTTAATTTGCATTTCTCTATTTGCTTAGATTTCTTCTCCTGAAAACTGCCTGCCTTTTCATATCCTTTCACCATTTATTTAATGGGGAATGGATCATAGGCTTATTAATTTGAATCAGTTCCTTATGTATGTCTTGTAAATGAGACCTATATTAGAGGAACTTGTTGCAAAGATTTTTTCTTAATTACCTGTTTCCCTTCTGATGTTTATTACTTTAGATTAGTTTGTGTAAAAACTTTAAAATTTTACATAACTAAAATTGTCCATTTCTATGGTCTTATCGCTTATTTAGTCAATAATTCTTTCCCTATCCATAGATCCAAAAAGTAATTTCTTTCTTGCTCCTCTAATTTGTTTATGACTTTTTCTATATATTTAGAACTTACCTGGTCATATTGTGTGAAATGTTGGTCTAAACCTAATTTCTGCCAGACTTCTGTCCAGTTTTCTTACCAGTTTTTGGTGAAATAATGAGCTGTTCCCCTAGTAACTGGGGATTCTTTCGGTTATCAAACATATGCTGCTGTGCTTGTTTGCTTCTGTATGCTGTGTACCTAATTCGATCTGATCTGATCTCTCTCTGCTTCTCTTTTTAAAATTGATTTTAAAAATGATTTTAATGATTACTGCGTTGTAGCATAGTTTGAAATCTGGTACTGAGAGATCCTTTTCATTCTTATTTTTTTCATCATTACTCTTGATATGCTTGATCTTTTGTTCTGCCATATGAATTTTATTATTTTTTCTAGTTCTGGAGATATTCATTTGGTAATTCAATTGATATAGCTTTGAATAAGTTAATTAATTTAGGTAGGATTGTCATTTTCATTTTAGTAGTTTGACCTAACCTTGAGCAGTTAATGTTTCTCTGGTTATTTTGGTCTGTCTTTATTTCTGCAGAGAGTTATATTCATAGTTATATTCATAATATTCCCTGGATGAATCTTGGTAGATACTCTCCTCATATATTTCCTAGTTTCTGTAGTTACTTTGCGCTTCTCTCTTTAGCTCTTAGCTCTTCTTTTTTTTTTTTTTTTTTTGGCTAGGCAATGGGGTTAAGTGATTTGCCCAGGGTCACATAGCTAGTAGGTGTTAAGTGTCTGAGGCTGGATTTGAATTCAGGTTCCCCTGACTCCAGGGCTGACGCTCTATCTGTTGTGCCACCTAGCTACCCCTTTTTAGCTCTTCTTGCTGGGTTTTATTGGTTATATATGGGAATATTGATGATTCATGTGGATTTATCTTACATTCTGTAACTTGGGTGAAGTGATTAATTATTTTAATTTGTTAGTTTATTCTTTAAGGTCCTTTAAGTATATACTATCATAGTGGCTGCAGAAGGTGATAATTTTGTTTTCTCTTTCGATATACTTATTTCCTTAATTTCTTTGTCTTATTGTTATACCTTGTTGAGTAGTAGTGGTGATAATGGATATCTGTACTTTACCCCTGATCTTATTGGAAAGGCCTCTTACTTTTTTCCATTACATATGATATACTTTTTGCTATGTTAATGGATTTATTCCTATGATTTCTAGATAGAAATGAATTTTATTTTGTCAAAAACCTTTTTTAGAATCTATTAATAGGGGTTTTATTATTTTTAACATGGTTTATTATGTTTATAGTCTTCCTTCTATTGATCTAACCAGTGTTTCTACTTCTGCAGAGATTTTTTCTACTATTAAATTATGTTAAATTATATCAAAATAATATTAAAATTTATTGTATTAAAACTTTTGTTATAGATTCAAAAATTTTCTTAATAAGTATATTGTGATAGAATAAAACACTCTTTTGCTCATATATTCTTTTACCTAGCTGCCTTGGTAAAATTGAGTGTCTTTATTTTACAAGAAAGAATTTTGAAATATGACAGTTTTTTTCTTTTCTTTTTTTTCCATTGTAGCCTGGTGTATTCACTCAGTTGCTGACTGCTGCTGAAGAGCGGTGGTGGCTTTGGATCATTTATGCCTTGACAGCAGGGTTGCCTTTAGTATTGATTACTTTATTTTGCTGGCCAAGAAAGGTAATGGAACAGGATTTCTTTTCTCAGTTGTTTTTTTTTTTTCAGTGTTTAGGAGTTTCTGTTGGCTGACCAAGTGACTCGTTTAAGTAGTAAACTAAACTTTCTGAAAGATTTTAATAATACTTCATTATTGGTGTGACACACTAATTGTAAGTTGTAGTCAAATTATGTTATGTTAACCACCACAGAAAAAAGATGAAGATGCAGAGTACAAAAAAACTGATATACATAAGCCACAAACAAAGGGGGCACTAGAACAAGAAGTGAAAGAGGAGAAGGCAACCCTAGAGAACACTACAGACCTGGAAGAGGAAAAAGAAAATCAAGACGATGGTGAAATTGAAAAAGGTATGATGGTAGTGATTTATATGAGTATATTTATATGAGGAGACACCTATATAAAAAGATTAGTGCTATCCCTACCTTAGCTCATAGAGCAAAAACCAGAGGCAGAGGAGGAACACATCTCTCAAAGCAATTCCAGACATAGTGTCTGAAAGGGCTTTCCATGATTTTGATGATGGTGGCTTATGACAATCTCTGTTGCTGAAGTTGGCCTCTTCTCATTGGCCATCTGTTACTTCTTGCACTACAATTCATCATCATGTTTCTGAAGAACAGATGACAAAGAAATAAGAAGATATTATCTGAGTTGACATTAAAGACCTTCGATCTTATCAGTAGCGTCTTTTAGAAGACTAAAAGGAAATGCATTTTGGATTTTTTTAAATATTTCAAAGGATCATTTACTGTGAGTTGGAGGGAATATCAAAGGCCATCTATTCCAACCCTTTCAAATTTACAGATAAGAAAATGGGGCCCAAAGAGATTTAAGTAATTTGTCCATATGTTACAGCTCACACAGAGCTAGTAAATATCAGAGCCAGGATTTGAATCCAGGATCTCTTATCCCAAATTTAGCACGCTTTTCATTGTAGCCCTTTTAAAGGTTGTTATGCAAAAAGTGACTGGACAATTTGTAGGCTCCAGATGGCAGAACTAGGACCATTGTGTAGAAGTTACAGAGAGACAGATTAAGGAAGCATAAAGAATTGTGAGCAGGAACTTCATAATAGTGAGCACTAACAAATAAGTCCTGCATCAGGTCCAAAAAGGGAATAAGTTGCTTCATATATTAGTGAGTTATCCATCAGTTGGAGGTGTCCTCTAAGATGCTAGGTAACAGCTTGGAATATTGGAGAGGGGATTAATGAATTAGAGTGGGAATCGGAGTAGGTGACATCTCGAATCCTTTGCAGTTAACTTGCCATAAGTCCCTAGTATTCTGGCTTCCCAGGAACAAGTTACTTGGGTCATTTTTCTAGAGCTACAAGTCAGATGCCCAGAGTTTCATTCCTCTTAATTATTTTTAATTGAATTGTTTATTATATGGGCCTAGAAGGGGTCAAGGAGGAGTGCAGATGTAATGGGTGCCAAGTAGCCACTGCTTAGGGGGAACTAGATCACAAATAACTAGTCCTTTAGTGGCAGATACCCACCAAAATGTCCATCCCACAGAACATGATTTCCACTGTTCAAGGACTGCCAGAATTTTCTTCCTATCTCTCTCTCCCAAATTAGTCTAATTGAAGATACTAGATCTGAGCTAAATCCTAGGTCCTAGTGTCTCCACAACAGACTGTGCTGAGTGCTTATAATTTGAAGGAATTCTTCTGAGGTCTGCTGTCATTCTAATCTTGAACATGGAATCAACCTCAGTGCCAAAAAGGTGGTTTAACTCCAAATAACCTGTCAGGTTTTGTTTCAGTAAAATTACTCTTGGAACACTCTGGCATACCTTGAGATTACATCCATGCCACATAGTTTATTTCCTGAGACAGATAAAATAGGAATGCAAATATAAAATAAAAAGATATGTGAGGACTTGTTAAATATGATTTATGTTCATCTCCTATGACCTTAAGGATTGCTTTTTCTTTTGTTTGTTTTTATATCAGGGTATTAGTAGAGCTTGAAAATAGAAGGGTGTTAAAAGAGGAATTAATTGATTTTATCAATGTCTGTTGTGCTTATATATCTCAGATGAGTCAGAATTAGGATAAAGGAAGAGTAGCAAATATTTAAGACACTAGAAGTAAACACAGAGCAGCAGTATGCTTATTAAAAATCTAATCTGTCTCTAGGGAGGTATTCAAATTTTAGAACACAAGGAATGTTTATATGTTTTACTTCTAAATCAAAATAAAATGTACCCTTTCCTCTTGCGTTAATCCTCTATTACCCTTTTAATGTCTGAGGAGAAAGATATGGGGTTGGATCTTGAATTTTGTGTTTTGAAGTAGATTTTGCCTTATCTAGTAACACAACAAGTATATGGTATAGGGAAAGGAACACTGGATTCTAAGAATTAATGATCAATAGATTTCCAGTTCCTACTTTTGTGTTAATTTTTTTCTTTTGGACAAGTCTCTTATTTTGTTTGTTATCCTGATGTAGAAAATTAGTATTAATAATATTCACCCATATGTGAGGTTTTTTGTGAAGATTGTAATAAAATGATTATGAAGGCTTTTGGAATGATATGATGCAGTATGCAGATTATAGATATTATTAAGTTGTTTCTGTGAGGAGCTCAGCCTTAGAATTATTCTTTCTTCCAGTTCATCAAACTTCACGGTTTGATATGGTATTTAAATCTGTCTTTTAGAAAGACACCTAATACTTCAAATATGAATAATTTGTTTCAAAATTTATAACTGCAGTCAATGTTTAACAAAATAAGGGATATTATAATTAACACAGGAAATTTTTGAGTGGAGGGATTTATTTTTTAAAATGTTGGATTCTTTGTATTTACCTTTATTGTATCTTATTTTCAATAACAGCTCTGAATTTACGTTAGAGTGAATCATTTCTGTGACATCTCTATTCTAGAGGAAGATGATGAAACTGAAGAAAAGAGTGAAGAAGAAAATGAAACTATAGATGAGCAGGAAGAAGGCAGTAAATCCAATAAATCTGGATCAGAAGATGAGGTGAGCTTTTTAATAGGAAGAATGAGTTTCAATTTGATGTGGTCATGGATTCTTAAAGATAGCATTAGGAAAAAAAATCTGAGCCATGTCAATTTTTCATCACACTTCCTCTTAACAGCATTCTAAGAAGCCTTCAGCATTGATGCAAATTGGTCTTTAAGAAATCCAGGAAAATATTGCAGTTAATATTATCTTAATTCCCAATGCAACAGTAAAAGAGTATTAGTCATTGATATATGACTCCTAAAGATACAATTTATACTATAACCATTTTTAAATCAGCAGAATTATAGTGAAGGGTATTAATCCTTTTAAGGTTTTTTTTAACGTTGTTGATATTAGAAAATCATTTTTCTTTAATGACAGCTTTGAAAATAGATTTGTTCTTTAATATTAATGTTTTAATGACATATTTTAGGAATATGGCTCAATAAGTAGTTATTGAGCACTTTGTACCTAGAGTATTATATTAGGTGTTCATATACCTTTTTATAGGGGTTTTTGCCCGTGCAATTTTAGTATGATGCTCATTTTGCCTGGTGGTGTAGTGGAGGGAGCTCTGGACTTGAATCAAGAGACTCTTGCTCCACCACTTACTCACAGTGTGGCTACAGACAAGTTGTCTAGCCTGCCTTGGCCTTTTCCTCATTCATAAAATGGTGACAGTAAACTTTGTTTATACCTGACAGGGTTGTGAGGATCCAAGGAAATAACATCTGTTGAAACATTTGGTATACAATATCAACTATTTTTTACTAAAAAACATTTTGTATTATGATTTCAAATGGAATTTCATTAATAATTGAATGTTCCTTTTTAATGTAAGATATAATTTCTTTAGTACTTTGAGGTGTTAAAAAAAGATAACTTCTTGCTGGGATTGGGGTTTTTTATTCAAGTTATTCAGGTTGTAATTCTGAATAAAACTGCATTTTAACTTTTCTCAAGTTAATAGATATGAAGAGCTATAAGAGAAGCTGTTTTCTATTATATTTTGGGTGCATTCATATAATGCCTGTGATAGTGTGCATCAGAGTTGCATAGAGCTAGTAGTAAGGACTGTACCTGTGATTTCATTGGCATATGGATGCATCTTCTGGTGAGGAAACTTGCTTTAACAATGCAGGCTCACATCTTCACAACTTGCCCAGGGTCGGGGTGATGCAGCCCAGATGTATTAGAGGCTTGCTCCTAGGTGCCTCACTGCGTCTCAAAGATTAGAGGAATAGAGCTGAGCTGTGAGAGTCCAACAAGCCCATCCTTGTCATTCTATAGGTGAAGAAACAAGTACTTTTAATTAAGTACTGTTGTAATTAAAAAGTAAAGTAGCATACTGATTTAATAGAAAAGATTCTTGTTTGTAAGACTAGCTCTGTTCTCATTATTTCAGTTTAATAAGTGTTGATTAAGCACCTGTTATGTTAGCCATCATTGTGCTAGATGTGGGGATACAATAACAAAAAATAATCCCAAGTCTCAAGAAGCTTATATTCTGTTGGGGGAAATGTGAGAATTGTATACACATGTACAAATTAGTAATTGAAAGGGACCATGAAGAGATCAAGCAGTGCTCTTTGATTCTGAGGAGGGAGAAAACACTGACAGCTAAGGAAATCAGGGAATACTTCATAGAGAATTCAACACTTGAGCTGAGCTTAGGAGTGAGTTCAGGAATCTTAAAGGTGAACTTGGGGAGAGGAGCAAATGCCAGGTATGGGGGACAATTGTGTGTACAGATAGGAGTCAGGTAATAGAATGCCAAGTTCTATGGAATAGCTAGTAGAATCTACCTTCACTAGAACACTAAGTGAGACAGAAAGTTATGTGAAATCAATGTAAGGAGGACAGGAGTCTTTGCCGTTGTGACAAGAGTTGCCTCCCTTCCACTTGTATTTTTCCATCACAGGGACCTGGTGGAACAGTTGCCCTTATCTTTGCCAGGAAGTTAGCTGGTGCAGGGGTGAGAGTGCTGGGCCCAAAGTCAGGAAGATCTGAATTTATATGTGGCCTTAGACATTTAATATCTGTGTGACCCTGGGAAGTCACTTTACCTCTTTGCCTCATGTTCTTTAACTGTAAAATGGAAATAATCATAGCACGTACCTCTCAGGGATATTGTGACGACCAAACAAAATAATAATTGTAAAGTGCTTAGCGCAGTGCCTGGCACATAGTAAATGTTAGCTCTTATTATTATTTCTAATGTTTTTCTTGGGGTTCTTTGAACATCAGGGCAATTTCTGTGGTCTGCCTCCTGCCACACAGTAGAAATAGGAAGGGAAACAGGCAAATGGAAATGGGAGATATTTTTCCCTGGCCAGAAAAAGATTCTGAAAATTTGACTGATTAGGAAAAGGGACAAGGTGAATAGAACTTTTTTAACTCAGGCGTGAGATAGACTAATAAGTAAACTGGAGACTGAGAAGGCCCAGTATATGGAAGGCAAAGAAGATAATTCATTAATTGACACTTCATGTTGTTGTTCTCTCATTCTAAAAGAGCTGTAACACTTCTCTGAGAATAGCAAAAAGTGGGAAACAGCTATAATAGCCAGCAGTTGGAGCTACAGTATCAGTTATTTGTTGAGGAAAGCCAAACCAATGAAAAGCACCATAATTCTTGCCAGAATGGCAAAACCACATGAAGTCAAGCAATAGAACACCATGGACAGAAAATGGTGTGGTGTCAAAGTGTACAAAAAGAGGTGGCTGGCCGAGAAGGAACAAGGAACAGAGCCCTAGTGGAAAGGGGAAAGAGGATGACACAAGGAGGAACTATGGAATTGATGCCCAGAGGAGTGCTTGACCAAGGAGCAGTAAATCACTGAACCCTGCCTTAGAGAACAAAGCTGTACCTTGCCCCTTATTCACTCAGGTCCTTATCCAAGGTGGTACTGTAAATCCCATGGATTATGCTGGTTGGAGGAGTAAAGTGACTTACACATATATAGGGGTTCTCCAAGTATTTTAAGTCAAGAATGCTGTTGGAAGTCCTTGGAGAAGGTAGGGCACACCTGAGGTTAAGGCAGCCTGATTTTAGTGAACCCAATTCCTTTTTCCTTATTAAGAGCCAAAATGCCGGAAGAATATATGTCTGTCTTACGAGATGGGTCTCTGTTGATAAGACATTATAAGGGCCCTCAGAAAAGGGAGAGAAATTTTCTTGACTGTATGTGTCCATTGCTTATAAATAAAACCTGGTTTACTTTGATATCTTGCTAGCCTCTGTGTTTAAGGGAAACTAAGGGCAGCCATTTTGGGAAAGTGTCATTTGCTAATGTTCCTAGCTATTTTGAAGGTAAGAACAAATGAACCCTTCCCTTTTTTTTCCTAACACCAGTGATCTCTTAATTATAAAATCTAATGACCTCTTCTCAGTCTTCATCCTTGACTTCCCTGGCATTTGATACTATTAATCAATCTGTGTTCCTGTGTGCTCCTCTCTTTGTTTTTATGACACTGCTGCCTCTTAATGTGTCTGATTACTTCTTCTCTGTCCCCAGTCATCCATATCACATCCTGTGTACTCCAACACTGATTTTGTGGACCATCTGTGTTCTCTTATGGGGTGACTTCACCTCCCATGTATTGTTGTAATTTATATTCAGATGACTCTAAGATCCTGCTTGTATTATCTCTCTCTCTCTCTCTCTCTCTCTCTCTCTCTCTCTCTCTCTCTCTACCTCTCTCTCTCCATCTCCCCACTCTCTGCCTCCTGCCTTCTGACAGTGTATTTGCTGTCCATCACATAAAACATTCCATTTTTTGCTTTTATGCAGACATTATGTTTATATTTGTTGTTCAGTCATTCTGTCACGTCCGACTCTTCATGACCCCATGGACCATATTATGCCAATACTGTCCATGGGGTTTTTTTGGCAAAGGTATTGGATTGGTTTGCCATTTCTCGAGTGGATTGAGGCAAACAGAGGTAAAATATCTTGCCCAGAGACACATACCTGGTAAGTGTCTGAGGCTAGATTTGAACTCAGGGCTTCCTGACTCCAGGTCCAGCATTCTATTCACTGAACCATCTAGCTGCGTCTTATATTTATATACATACATACCTAAATACATATATGCATACATGTACACATTTTCCCTTATAAAACATGAGGTTGTTGAAGATTAGGGAGGGTAAATTTTTGTTTTTTCTCAGTGCCTAGCTTAATGGCTGGCACATAGGTAGCTGCTTAATAAATGTTTACTGATTAATCAAAAGGAGTAAAGAGGATGTGCAGGCACAGTTACTATAAACTCCTTTCTATGAATTTAGCAGTGAAATCAACTTGGAACAATAACTTAAGGAGATGGCAGGGTTAAATAAAGTTTTTTAAAAATTATTTAAGATTTTATTTTTTTCCCCAGTTACATGTAAAAACATTAATTTTTTTTAAAATTTTGAGTTCCAGGTTCCCTCCCCTGCTCCCTCCTTGAGAAAGCAAGGAATTTTATATAGATTATACATATACAGTATTTCCATATTAGCCATATTGTGAAAGAAAACACAGACCAAAAAAAACCCCCAAGAAAATGAAAGTATAAAATAGTGTTTTTCGAGCTACATTCAGACTCCATCAGTTCTTTCTCTGGAGATAGATAGCCTTTTTCATCATAAGTCCTTGGGGATTGTCTTGGATTATTTTATTGCTGAGAATGTCATTTACAGTTGATCATTGTACAGTGTTGCTGTTACTGTACACAGTGTTCTGGTTCTGCTCATTTCACCTTGCATCAGTTCATGTAAGTTTCTCCAGGTTTTTCTGAGAGCATCCTGCTTATCATTTCTTATAGCTCAATAGGAGTGCATCACAATCATGTACCACAGTTTGCTCGGCCAGTCCCCAGCTGATGGGCATCCCCTCAATTTCCAATTCTTTGTCACCACTAAAAGAGGTGCTGTAAATATTTTTGTACATGTAGGTCCATTTCCTTTTTGTTTTGTTTTGTTTTGTTTTGTTGTTAGGGATACAGACCTAGTAGTCATATTGCTGGGTCAAA